TGAAAAGGATTCCTTTCAATAAATAACTAAAATAGATTTTAAATGTTTGTCTACAGGCCATTAACTAACCCAAAATAAAGGGAAGGAAAGAATTAAAGAGCTTCAAGGATCTACTGCCAAAGGGCGTCCAACCATATAGGAAGAGTTGGCGTCGGAAAGAATGAAGCCAAGGATTCAATTTACCTACGATGTTCCTCAAATGCATCCATTCTTGTAAGATAGATTATTAAAATAAAAGAATTTCATAAAAATCATGGTGTTCATAAGCTTTATTGCCTTAACATTAAATCACAAGGCTTCATTTATTCTCTCAATCCCCACCTAACATCAATCAATAGATTTAATTTTTTGACACTTTCAGAGAAAGACAGCTGAGTCTTTTTTTTTTTTTTTTTTGAGACAGAGTCTCACTGTGTTGCCCAGGCTAGAGTGCCATGGCGTCATCCTAGCTCACAGCAACCTCAAACTCCTGGGCTCAAGTCATCCTCCTGCCTCAGCCTCCCGAGTAGCTGGGACTACAGGCATGTGCCACCATGCCCGGCTAATTTTTTCTATATTTTTAGTTGTCCAATTAATTCCTTTCTAATTTTAGTAGAGACGGGGGTCTCGCTCTTGCTCAGGCTGGTTTCGAACTCCTGAGCTCAAACAATCCTCCCGTCTCGGCCTCCCAGAGAGCTAGGATTACAGGCGTGAGCCACCACGCCCGGCCGACAGCTGAGTCTTGACTAAAGGTTATCTTAGAACCTATTGCAAAAAAAAACAAGCTCTGTTGAGCTGGCAATAATCCAGATTATCATCCATTCCCCTTTCAGAGCCACAATGGATTTTAACCAGTCTTCTGTTTTATAAATATTACCATGGCTCAACACATCTATGGGAAGACTCAACATTACCCATGGCTCCCATCCTGTTTGTTAACCAATTATATCAACAACCTGAACCAACTTAACACTATACAAAAACACAGCTGATTTAGCAATCTGTAAATTATACATGTACATAAATCTGTACCAAAATGTGCTGCGTTTCACTCCTGCTAATGTGCATGGATTTTTACTGGCACCTACAATTGTTTGATATAGGTTCCTGAATGCTAAAACATATGTTCTGCCTAGAACGGGACCATTTAGAGTAATATTTTTGTAGTTTCCTGGCACCAAGGTCTGCCAGCCTTCCTAAGACAGATCTCCTATTTGCTTCAGCAAGCATTCTGACAACGAGTGCCTGCAGATTTAAGCAACCATCAAAAAATATTCTGGAACAACACTTTCCAACCATGAATAGAATCAGGCTGGCTTTGCCTATGTGGCAACGAAGCAGTAGCATTTAAAATGATCACTGACATGATCATAACCAAAATCAAATCAAATCTGGGGCATTAATTATTCCTGCTGACTACTTACAACAATCCAAAAAAATGGATAATTATCAAATCTTTCCTTCAAATGGAATTCAAAATGTATCGAAGAAAGTTAAAGTAGATTTTAGTGCCAGCAAGACCAGTAAAAAACCTCAGGAATGTTTTTTAAATACAGTGACAGGCCTAAATAACAGTTGCAGCCAGACAACAAAATAGAACAGGGGCGAGAACCTTGGACCAAGATTCATTAGAATGTAACTTACTAATCACAAAGAGAGTTTCTGATTTTCCACTGTATCTCCAGCGTTCAATAAATACAAATCTTTGTTAAATGAATAAATCAGTAACGACTGCTGACTAGTCCCTAATCTGCCTCTAATTGCCTTTTTCTAACTCTGCCTCTTACTATTAACAGTACATAAATCACTTAACCTGAGGAATCTGTTCCTTAAACTCGAAAATGGAGACTCTGCAGCTCCTCTGCTGGCTTATGAGGATCGAAGGCGATATTCTATGAAAAGTGACTCAGTGCTTTATAATGGGGCACACAGACGTTAAGTGCCTGTTATCACGCCCCTGCCTTCGGCTAAACCACTGGCAAAGGTGAAAGACCACACTGCCTTGAAATATAATTAGCCTCTCCTTTGCCCTATTATTCTGTTTGGATGTGGTAGCAGGGCTGTTAGCCAAAATGGATGTTTTTCTTGTTGTTATAACATTTTATTTAATCTCCACTGGGAAATTATGCTTTTTGAGAGAATATAATGGCAACACAAGGAAAGTTTTTGCATGGTGTACCACAAAGAACATGGCACTGAAGTCAAGTAGCTTGGGGCCTCATCAGTTTTGCCTCTAAATATATGAAGAAAGTTACTTGCATCAGTTTCTTTATCTATGCAACGATGGAGAAGAAGAGGTAGACTAGAAATTACGTAAGGTCTGTCTCATCCTACAGTTCTATGATATTCCAGACACCAGATATTCAAACAACCCCCAAACAAAGCCAGTTCTATTATTCATTAGCATATAATATGAGTAGTATTTTTAAGGATGATGAAAGGAGTTCCACAGACTAAGTCGTAAGGGCTGGAGAAACAATGCTACAAGGAGGATGTATGATAGATATCCTCTAGAGAACACCAGCCACAGGCACTGTCTGCTTTGCCACTTTAAATAAGTCACTTAATATCTCTAGGACTCAGTTTTCTGATCTGTAAAAGAGGAATATTAATGCCACACAGGACCACTGGCAGAAAATACCTAATAAAATAATCATCAAGTATTGCTATTTAAAGGTAAAACGCTATTTAAATACTGTAATGTCCAGAAACAGGCTTGTGGAGTTTAAAACGAGACAATCAATATCTTTAAATAGACTGTTTCCATCACAGTAAAATAACATAATGGCATGCAGACATTGTGATATTTCTAAGAGTTCACAGTTTTTTTTTTTTCCATTCCTGTTCAGGAAATATTATAAAAGGGATCATTAAAAAATTAAATCCCACGTTTCAAGATCAGAACCTTTTTTTCTGAGAAATAGACAATTTTAAAAGTTCATCCAACTCTCCGAAAATGTTTTGTTTTGTTGATAATGTTCCTTTGGCCGTTTAATTGAAATCAAGCTGTTGGGACTGATGCTGAAATGAAAATATCCATGCTAAAAATATTCCCAGCGACTTATTCTATTGATACCCTATGTATGCTTACAGAGAAGTGGCGCTAAGAAGATAAACTAAACTAGAAGGTATTCTGCTTTTCTCAGCTCCGGGATCCTTAAGGTTCTCCTACAAACCCAAGGAACTTTGTGACTGTAACATATAAGTTTCACTTCCTGCTCCCTCCATGCAAAAAACATGCACAGTATACATTAGATACAGGTTTCCTCTTTCATTTAAAGGACACTGCCTCCTTACTGGGAAAAATGAAATTGTCATTGGTATTTATAAGTTGATGTCACTGACAATGGGGTCCCCAAATCTGAAAGATTGTCTCTATACCCCTTCACAGGACAGTAACAATGGCAATAATAGGACGGTAACTTTTAAATAATGATTTTATTTTAAAAAATCCGTGAACACCTCCAGCTATTTTATGGCAGAAGAGTTCATCGTGGCTGTTCACATAGTAAATGTCATCCCCTTGCATCTCCAGGTAATGGCTGTGACATTGCTCTAAAAGCCACCTTAGTTTGAATAAGAAAGACCTTGAAGGAAGAGGTGAAACACCCTTCAATATTCTTATTCTTAAGAGGCACATGGTAAAGATGTGATCATTTCTAAATAAGTTCTTAATACATGATGATTTGCTATGCTAGTTGATGTGTTTTCTTATAAGATCAACTTAAATCACATTTTAATTAAAGAGTATTTATTAGTAGCATAAGTCACTTTTCATGCCCTTTCCCGGAATCCCTAACTAAATCCAATGGAAGCTGATCTGATCGTTTGAAACACAAGCTCCTTAAGGGTCTGAAACAGTGATATTTACACAATTAAAACCACTTCCTGAGTTAGCTCCTCATGTCATCCTAGTAGAAGAACGTCATCTGTCCCTGGAAGGAAAGGGGTCCAGGAGCTCGGAAAGAGCATCTTAGGTTTGGCTCTCTTGTTGTAGCTGTTTGATGAACTGGTGTGCGCCGCACCTTCCAACTACCCGGACTCCTATTTGCTCTGCAAGTTCTTTAGCTGGGGTCTCTCCGCGGTGGGTCCGAAAGGCGATTGAAATTGGTCCTTTGCATCCCTGCTCCCAGGACTCTCGCCTCCCAGAGCTTCGTGCTACTGTCCATCTTAATGCCACAGGGATACAGATGATTGCTTAGGATGGGTTTATTGGATAATGGATCTACTTACAGGCTCGATGGGTTTGGGAATTTATAGGTGAGCAAGACTTAAGGATGGCATAAAACACAGTTGTAGGACTGGAGGAGGGAAATATGACAGGTGACCATTTAGCCTGCTCCGCACCTGTGCCCTCCACTTCCTGCCTGACTCCAAGAAAGCCATCTGCCCCTCACGAACCTTAACTGAACCTCGAAGTGGGTGGGCGGCTGAAGGGGTGGAATCAGGCAGCCGACAGCACGTCCCTAAGTCCCCACGTCCCTACACCTCTGACTTTTCAGCTTCAGGGATGGAAGGTGGAGGCAGCTGCCTCACATTATTACGAGGGGGCCAGGACCTGGAGTTGCCTGTCTCTACTGCTGGCTCTCCCTGGGGAGAGGGGCGCCTCGGGGAGTAGCCCGAGAGCCCTGAGAGCCCCGAGAGCCTCGGCCGGCGCGGGGCTGGGGGACAGTACCGATGGGGCGTGCGCTGCCGCTCCCGCTGCGACCAGCTTCCCATCACTTTTCCCAGTACTTCGCTCCGCGGCTGTCACTCTCTCGGAGACGAGACCCAGACGGCGCGCGAAAGGCCCACAAGGCGTCCCCAGGAGCGCCCTCCTCTTGGGATGGGGGCCCGTCAGACCCCGCCCCGCCCTGCCCACCTTTCCCTGCCTCCCGGAGGCAGCCCCGGGCGCCCGCGCAGCGACTCGTCGGCAGAGCCCGCGGGTTCTGCTGCATCTGCCGGCGCGGGGCGGCGGGAGGCGTCTGCGATAAAGGCACGGATAAAAAGCCTGGGTAGCCAAATCCGAATGCACCTCTTACCATTGGACCGCCGGACAATATTCTCCAGAAACGTGTTCTGCGGGGCCACCAGTCCCCTCCTGCCCCCGGCCATGGTCATCCTCCCCGCAGCTCCGGGTCTGGGGGGCGTCCCGGCGCGGCTTCTCACGGCAGCAGGAAGCTGGGCGCGGGGCCCGCACGCGATCTGGGCACGAAGCGCCCCATGCGCCCCACGGGGACCCGGGCGGTCAGGGGCGGCGGCTCCCTCTGGCTGCCACCCTCGCGCCCTCTTCGCGCCTCCCTCCCTGCTGCCCGCCTCGCAGTGCTCTCGCGCCGGGCTCGGCTCTCCGCAGCCGCCTCCGGGTGGGCGGAGGGAGCAGCCGCGCCTGGGCCGGTGGCGCCCCCTACCGGGTGCGAGCCCCCCGCCGGCCTGCGGGAGACGGAGCCTGGGGCTCCCGCGGCAGCCGGGAAGCGGCAGGTGGCCGCGGGCCAAGGCTGGGATGGCAGCGCCACCCTCTGGGAACAGCCGGGAAAAGTGTTCAGGATGCGCCTTGGGCTGGGTGGAGAGGAGGGCGTTGCGAGCAGCGTTCTTGGTGGATTCAGCCCCAACAAGGTCACCGCGAGTCTTGGGGGAGCACGAGGATGTAACGCTCCCTTTGCTCTGTTTCAGGCCAGGGCCCCCGGGACCTCTGAGGCTCCGGGAACACCTTGCCTTTCTGTAGGGTGTTAGCCTGATCGAAGTTGCCCCACCTTGATTCTGAAGCCAGAGTTTTACCGGTAATTATTAATAATGAAATTGAGTTGTGAGAGGGCCGACTTGCAGGGTAACTGACAGGTTTCGCTTCAGAAGAGGTGTCTTGGCTTGTTTTCCCCGCAGGTACATATGCAGGCTCCTGACGTTTGGTAAATTTCCTGACTGACTGACTGACCTGATTTCCACTCTTATCCAGTGCATATTTTACCAAAAGGGCCAAGAAAATATATATGCATATACATAACTTTTTTTAGCTGAAGCACAACCTCTTATGATCAGTATGTAAGCTTTGGAAACAGGAACAAACTGCCTGAAAACTATCACAAATGGTGGACTTGTCTCCAAGGGCAAACGCTTGGGGTGGGCGTGGGGGACAGCGTTAATTAAGCAACAGTAACCTTGGCTTGAAGGGCAGTGTGCAGCGCAGAGGGTAACCAACTAGTTTTTATACCTGTCCCTGGTATTAAGCAAGAATCTCATACACCCAAGGTTTCTAGGCAGGCGCTAAGACAACCCAGCTTTGTTCACTTATTTTGGGGGATTTCTACCTGTGCATACTCGTGCTACTGTTTCCAGTGGGTGTGACAGGAGACTAAGCCTGTGCCCCACAGAAGCAATGAGTTCATAGTTCACTAGTTAGTTTTTCAGACTCAGTCAACTGTCAACACAAAAAATGTAAGAAGAGAAAAACTGTCCCTGGAACTTAATAGTCTGGGTAACCATCCTGACACATCCTAATGTATTGCACAGACACCCTGTCTCAGTTAATTTCAAAAACAGAAGAACTAATTCTTGCCCAGCAATCTCTCAGAGTTGCTGTGAAGATCAAACAAGATTATGTAGAGGACAGCACTCTAAATCGTGAAGTGCTATACCAAGGTCAGACGTCATTATTGGAGTGACTAAATAGATTTGGCCATTACAAATATCATCCTTTGTCTCTTCTTGTGTAAACACGAAGTAAACAGATGACTGCTGTTAGCAGAGAGTTGGATAAGGCCGTCACAGGCTTTGAAATGAAAGTAATGACATGCTTCTTCCTTAAAATATCATTGTACCCATCCTATCAGTCACACAGCTCAGAGTTGTGATTTCTTAAACCCTAGCTCCGTCTAGTGGTTGTTTGTTCTATTGCAAATAAGATAACAAAGTAGTTGAAGAGAACTCTGAAATGTATTATTTGGCACTGAGCTGAGCTGGTTTGGTGTCTGCCCACTTCATCAGAATCAGTTAATTCGAATAAAGTTCTTAAGATTGTATTATCTACTGCACGAACATGCCCAAGGGGAGATTTTTCATGACAATTTTAAAAACCCATCAAGCAACCTCATAATCCTGCTTGTGAAAGGAAAATAAAAAAAAGTATGGGGGAAGAACACAGTCATAAACAATTGATAAAATTTCTTACATTTTAATGAGCTCTCACGTTCTGTGGCTTAGCTAAAAAGGAAACAGATGATATTCATTTGAGATGATCAACGTTAAAGCCTTAGTAGGCTACCTGATAAGAAAAAGAAATAAGGAGATGTCTCCCATTTTAAATGTACTATTACAGCGGTTCTCAACGTGTGCTCTGTGTGTGTGTGTGTGTGTGTGTGTGTGTCAACACTTTTTTGTAATTTGAACTATAATTTTTAGTGGCACACTTGAAGAAATTAAAAGACTAAAACACCACTAAAAAGTCCACAATCTTGGCTGGGCACAGTGGCTCATGCCTGTAATCTGGTAGGTCAAGGTGGGAGGATCACTTGAGGTCAGGAGTTCAAGACCAGACTGAGCAAGAGTGAAACCCCATCTCTGCCAAAAATGGAAAAATTAACCGGGCGTGATGGTGTGTGCTTGTAGTCCCAGCTACTTGGGAGGCTGAGGCAGGAGGATCGCTTGAGCCCAGAAGTTTAAGGTTGCAGTGAGCTACAATGATGCCACTGCACTCCTGCCTGGGTGAAAGAGTGAGACCCTATCTCAAAAAAAACACATCCACAATCTTTAATCACAGTATGACAGAGTCTCGTGGTGTCTATGAAAGCACATCCAGCCATTCCTCCATTCCCTTGGCTGACCCTCAACATGCCTGACAGTAGGAATAGAATCACACTCTGCCCCATCCACATTCTTTTTGATATTTACAGGTAAAGGCTGATGTTCCAGTAGACACTCCATCTTTCTTGGTACTGGTTTGACAGGGCACTGTGCTTTTTATATCTCACTTGCCACCTTCTGTTTCCTACTCGAACATTCAGTTCCAGAACCTGCTCAACTTAAAGTTCTGAGATCTATCACTGTAGTATAGGAATCTCAGAGCAAACTTTAATCTTAACGAATTTGTCAAAATTTGGTAACAGATTTGTGAAGGATTCACAATACACCACGTGCCTTGGCAAACCAGTTGAAAACCCGTGTATTTTTGCGTAACAGACAAAGCCGCTTTTCATTTAAAGGGACAACTTTAACTGTGAAAAGAGTTCCAATTGAACCGCCTCTGTCCTTCCTTGCAGAAAAAGAGCTACAACTGCCTAAAACTTCTCCCAAGAAAGATACACAGAGTTTGAAATAAAAACTGAAGTTTTACTTCACTGTTTCTAGGCTTCCCCTCCTCAGTGGTTCTCGTCCTGGTCTCCTTCAGCATTCTGTTTACCCCTCAATTATAACGTGTTTATATCTGTATCACACAATAGATTGGGAGCTCCTTGAAACAAAGACAAACTTTAACAATCTTTGTTCTCATAAATGTGATTAAGCCATGCTGTAATTAGTGAGTTTACAAAAGGAATAGGTAGTGACAGAGGCAGAATGCTACAGAAAGAACATGGAGATGGAGGTCTGCAGATTGGCTGGGAAAAGAGTCCAGGAGATGACAGAAAACTCTCTCCCCCCAACAACAACAAAATCCATCAAATGAAGAGGAAGACAATGCCACACATCAGAGGGGCAGAGGCATGCAAAGATAGGAATTTCCTTTTTTCTTTCATGAAGACCATGAGGTATGGGTGACAGGTTTCAGACATAGAAGAGTTGGCTGTGAGACTTAGAAGGCGTGGAGCCGGGCAGGGCAGGCCAGGGATATATCATCATTAGAAACCACGGCAAAGGAGAAACTGAACATAGAGGTGACTTCACTACTTGGCCACCATGACTGAAATATCTAAAAGTGGGGAAGATTTGCAGCATGGGAAATTTCAGCTTCTAGAGCCCAATGATTGACTGGCTTATTTATTACATGTAATTTCTGCTGACAGAACTTCTATTCTAATGGATTTATAGGAAGAGTGTTGGGCAGGCTATATGCATTAGAAGAATCTGTATAACATAAGGGATGTCTCCCCCAAGTGCTTCAAGAAGGGAAAGAATCTGCTCAGTGAGAATCCTAGTCCATGAATCTAATAGACTGGGGGGAAAGACCGCACTGATGTAGGTCTTACACTCAACTGTGGCTAACCCAATGGACATTTTTGAGTGTTTATAGAATTGGGTTATATCCTTCTAAGTGCCCAAGCCTATTATCCTTCTTTTTCATTTCCTCTTATCAAAAGAGAAAAGGATCTTTTAACACACTCCAGACCCAATGGAAAATAATTAAAAGTCATTTAAAACAGTCTCATTTTAACAAACATTTGCACAGAATCTAGCATATACCAGATAGGTTCTAAAGATGAAAAGATGGTTATGATGAGCATCTGCCCTCAAGAAATTCAACAAACCTTTAATAAGTGCTTATGTTCTTTGTGATTTCTCTCCTTTCAACTACTTTTCTTTTCCATTTTGCTCTCTAAATCTTGCTTTCTTTGTAAATAAATTACTGTTCAACTTGACCTCTTCACTGAAGACTTTCTTGCCTCCTCTTAACTGAGACCTGGCTCTCCCCTAAGGTCTCAGAGTCCTGTAGATCCCACTTCTTTGGAAGATATTTATTCTGCCAAAGCCTCTGTACCTAGAAGACACAAGTTGAGGTGAGAATTCGTCAAGTTCCTCATTGCCATATTTAAACCACTACTCTTCTCCATTCATTTAAGATTTCTCCTGCTTTGAAGTTCATGATCAATAACAGTATCACTCTACTCCTCTTCAATTCTTAACAGTTTTTGGGAAAATTGTATTCAGTTTTGAAAAAGTTGAGTTGCCTGAGGGGCATTGCAGAGAAATATTGAGTAGGCAATTGGACAGGATAGGTTTACAGCCCAAGAGAAACATCTGGGTAGAGCCAGAGATTGGAAGTCACCAGTCTATAGCTTTCAAAGGAGACTAAAAAGGAGCAGTTCAGAAGTGGGGGAAAACTGAGAGAAATGGTTTTGTAGAAGCCCAGAGAGAGAGGGAGAGTCTTTAAATGAGAAGAGTGAAAAACAGCATCATATGTTGTACATTATACAAGTAAACACTGGGAAATGGCTACTGGATCTAATAATTAGTTGGTCGTTTGAGACCTTAGTAGAAACATTTTCAATGGAATAGTTGGGAGGAAGCCAAATTGCAATGGGTTTAAAGATTTAGTAGAAATATACAAATAAGATGGCAGACTGAGATAAGGTACTGCCTTCC